TTCTGTAGAAGAGTTGGATTTCTGAACATAATACAGGGAGGAACATGACAGTGACTTTCATAGTTATGGAGGAAGAACAAGGTAGGAAAAGACACTGAATACTATAAACATATGTATTACCTAAAATTTTAATGATTTTTTTTCCAGGGTTATGACTTCAGCTGAATTCCTCCTACCATTTGCTGTGGAGATTCAGGAAGCTGCAGAGACAGGTGGACATACATTAACCCCTAAATCCAACCTCCCTCTGCCCATACCCTCCCATGCCAGGCTCCAGGCAGAGTTAGTTCTGCACCACCATCAGCCCTGCTGACTGAGCAGTGGGAAACGCTGAAGCCCGGTCCACACCCTTGGGTGACAAGGTTGTCACACTGCAAGGTCAACTTGGCAGCCTCGGGTCAGGTGGAGCTAATGCTGGTCCTTGAACGTCAGTTGTTGCCTTTCCTCACCCCTGGCCAACCTGGAGCCCAGCACCCTGGAGGAGCAGCTACACCAGGTAGCAAGATGTGGGGCACAGCTGTGCAGCACCCTGCCACTTCATCCCAAATGATGGACATTTCTTTCACACTCCTTGTGTTAATGTTCACTGTCCTGGCACATGTCAAATGTTGTGAGGCTTGCAATAGCACTGCGGGAGATGATAACGCTGCTTTTCTGTGTCCTCCTGGTGGCTTAAAGGAGCTAAAAGAGTTAGCAGAGCTGGTTGCTACACTGGCCCCTCTGTTCCTCTGAGGGAGGGAGGCTTCTGGATATGTGGAGCTCTGCCTCATGTTGGGGCTCATCCCCAATTCACAGTCCACCTGAGAATCTCCTCCACACCCTGCTCTCCACTAAGCAGTGGCTGGGTGTCGGTAAGAAGTTGAGTTTACTCTCTGCTCTCTCCCATGGAGCCCTTTGCTTTTGTTCAGCTCTTCTTTGTTGTTCTGGTAATACAAGCTAACAGCTTCTTGAACCAGCATCTCTATCAGCAGAAGAGCATCACGATTCAGAACATCAAGTGCCGAACTCGTGCCCTCAGGAGGAAACACAGAGCATGGGAAGATCAAGAAGATAAACCAGCCTATATCTCTTTGAAAGACCAAACAAGCACTGAGATGGAGTGAGGGTGTTTATCTAGAGGCTGGGCTTTGCGTTCTCAGATCCTGCTGCTGGAAGGGGGAATCAGGCATAAGTATCTCTTTTCTCCCTTCCTGAAAAGATTCAGGATATCATGACATTTGTCGTCTATGTCTAACTTGCAAGAAAATTATGTGCTCGGTATATCTCACAGACAATAAGGAGTGAAATCTCACCCTGCCTTCGTGCCTCACTGCAGCTCTATGGAGTTATTTCAGTTTAATGAAAAAGGAGAAATAAGTAGGACCCCGGAGATGCTAATGAAATACCTGTCACACAGCATGCCAGTAGCAGTGGCAGCATGAGAGTGCACAAATCCTGATCAGTCCTTTACTCCAACCCTGCTGTTAGCTGGTCCCT